TCTCTCTCTCTCTCTCTCTCTCTCTCTCTCTCTCTCTCTCTCTCTCTCTCTCTCTCTCTCTCTTGCACAGAGACCGCAGAGTCATATCACAGATTGTTGCACGTTAGTCGAATGTTAAACGGACCACAGACGAAGAAACATTCTTTTAAATGGCAGTCTGCACGCGAGCGCGACCGAATTGTAGAATGTAAAGAAGGAGCTCCGAAAGAGGAGAACCGACCAACCGACCGACCGACCGACTGCGGTACGACAATTTGCGGTTCGTGCAACACCGGCCTTAATTATACGGTTCCTTATACAAATCGCTCGTGTTCCACATCTTCTTCTTTTTCCATAACTGTTTGCCGAAAAGCACAAAGCGCGGTACTTATCTAGTTTCACCTCGACCCAATTCTCACGCACTGCGCGTTCTCGCGCGAGCGCGCGCGATTTGCAAGAGATGCGTTTCGCGCATTTCTCTCCCCGAAGGGATAAAAATTCGCGACGCAATTAAAATTATCGCAAAACCTCGCACGCTGTTACGCGCCAAGTCGCATTTTAATCGAGCTAATAACGCACTCCCGATCCGTATACCAGATACCGTTTTCTCTGCTCTAAACGTCTCTGTGTGTTTATAAATCGCGTCCACATTAAAACCAGTCGGCCAGTTTAATGGGATTCAACGAGTCGTTGGTGCGCGTACGCGGCAGGTAATACCGATCCTGGCGAGCGTGAGAGGGAACCTGCTTGCGCGGGATTTCAGCCGATACCAATCGTTATATCGCCACACGACTAATCCTTAAACGCGTGGACGGATGCTGCGGTCGGAGAAATCTCTCCTTCTCTCTCGCGCGCGCACTTATCCTTCCGCGAAACTGGATCGTCATCTCGAGCAACAGGAGAAATCCGCGCGAAGGACTCTCGCTTCGCGATACCGATCGTCTCGAGAGCTGGGTTGTGCGCCCTCCGCGATCGCGCACGTAATCAAGACGGATTCCGCCCTCGCGGAATCGGCGGCTGGGTCGACTCTCCTATCCGTTCTGTGAAACTCGATCGTCTTGACTGGGAACCTGCTCGAAGGCGATAACGATCGTCGCGATTGGGCCCGGCAAGTCCTGAAGCTGGCGTCGCGATAGAGATTTTATCGTTGAGGAACGAGCGTATTTTTTTTAATAGGTAGACGACGGTGTATAGAAAGAATATTCCTGTTTGGAGAATATTTTTATTATTAATAATTTAAAAAAAAAGAATGTTAAAATAAAATTACATGGCGTTAAACGAAAATAAATTAGTTTTCAATCAAAACAAATATAATTAAATTAACACAATCATTTCCTTCTATAAAATATTACAATATTAATACTCTTAGTTGTACATTATTAATCTTCAATCAAGACAAATATAGTCAAATTAACACATTTTCTCATATATAGAAGCAATTAATACATTTTCTCATACATAAATACATATATTTCTCATGTATATAAGTAAGAATATCAATATTACTGGTTAATTATGAGAAAATGATTGTGTTAATTTGACTATATTTATCTTGATTGTATTTGACTATATTTATCTTGATTGTTGATAATATTAATATAATATTAATATAATATTAATATAATATTAATATTGTAATATTCTATGAGAAAATGATTGTGTTAATTTTATTATACTCGTCTTGACTGAAGACTGTTTTCGTTATTACAGTTATTTTCGCCATATAATCTCATTTTAACATTAATCTTATTTTTATAATGTCAACAATAAAGAACAATATTCTCCAAACAAGAATATTCTTTCCTTCTGTGTACAATCATCTTATAACTGCACGGGAAAGATATCATCGTTCGAGTATAATAATAAGATTAATAAGAGATTTAAATACAAAATCGCAGGGTTTGCTAGTTACTTACCCATCTCAGTTCTAATCTATCGTATCTAGACAATTTTCGCTATGACTGCAAGACCATTTTTTTCAGTGTACTCTCTTTACAAGTGGCTACCTATAATAAGCGGAATGAGCTTGGCTTAAGTTTTTTTAGAGTATATGTATATAAGAGTTTTTATATATACATAGAGTTTATATATATATATATATATATATATATATATATATATAT